ATGTATTTTCTCGACTTTTCACCAGGGCGTTTCAGACATAGATAAGTTATTTGACATTTACGATGCTCTCTCCCGGGAGCTAGTAGGGGGAGTCAGGGGCTGACGCTTCCCTCTCCCCCTTTCCTAAATGATTAAAACTTCGATGATAGCAATAATGTATTGGATCTACCGTCTTGCCCAGGGAGGCACAATACTCTACCATGTCATCAGGCAAAAAGAAGCCCCACCGGTCGTTTCTTTCACATGTATAGCAATATCAAGTAATTCCTGTTATGCAGCGGGTAGGTGACATAAGGGAGATATTGAGAACGGACACAGAGAGCAACAGATAACCTCCAGTGGAAAATGTCACATTTGGTATATCATTACGCAGTTCGTCATCTCCCCCTGCTGTCCGCTGCCACCGGTACAGTACCGTGTTTAGTCTTCTATATATATACACAGTCTAAGAAATAGCTAGGATTCAATCAACCTAGTGCGTCACCCGACTGAGTGCGTTCTGGAAAGTCAAATATAACAGTGAGGCTAGCTAGCTCCACCAGAAGTTAACTACCGAAAGAGGGAAGTAGAGCTACAAAATGTACAAATACCCGATTCACAATAATATGGATTCCACTTGGTGTCTGCGTTCAATAGAACCTCTCCTTTGAAATTTCTCATCTATGATACCTACTACAGCCCCACTGATCAGACCGCTGACTACGGAATTTGATGCGGCTCATGTATTATCACTCGTTCTCCTGTAGCAAATGAAATGTTGAAAAATGATCGATATGGAGGTAATGATCAACGGTGAGGGTTTACGCAATGGAGTAGAATCGTGCGAGTGGAGATATGAGGTCTCAGGTGATGAGGAAGACCATGATCGATTGTTGAGAGATGGCCGAGAGGAAGAAATCTAAGGAGAAAGGTAAAGTACAGGAAGTGGTTGTCTCGTAAGAGAGAACAGAAGGGAAGAAAAGACAGGAATGTAAAAAGTTTCCATAGCTTACGCGTCCTTCAGTGGTGCGGATATATACTACTGAAGCCACCATCTGTGAGCACATCCCGCACCAAGTGCGGCCATCAACTGCTAAACCCAACATAAAAGCCTTGCGGATTAATATTGAGTCTACTGATATATTCCGTACGATACAGTTTTCACGAGCATCATGTAAGATGATCGAAGGCTGCAGGTCGGGGATGATGAATAGCTGAGTTCGTGACTAATTCCTTATTTCGGGTTTTGCCTGCTCCAAGAGAGGGATAAAGTCCATGCAAATCACCCCGACGATGACTTTTTTCCTTTTTTTGTTTCCACAGCCCAACTCTCATTCTCTACTCGCCGACAAGGGTTCTGAGGTCTCGAGGGGGTTGCAGGGGATTTTTCAATTTACAGTTTGCCTTGTACCCAATATCATCATCAATCTCCAAGCGATGTAGACACCATCGGGATCACGTCTTTTGTATTTCTCCAAGCCAGAAATTTTTTCTGACTTTTCTTTTGCTCCTGCCCCCCCCCCCCCCCCTACATCCTGCTTGGCCTTAGAGGTCTGGTCCGTTGAATGCTGGGTGACCGGAGGGGATAAACCAAACACCTCTCTTCCATGCTACTACCAACGGCCACGAAGAGGTGGTAAGGGTCCTAAGAAACCGCGCAGATGTTGATCTCAACTCTGCGGATTGGTACTCCCAAACACCTCTCTTCCAAGCTGCTGTAAACGGCCATGAAGGAGCCGTAAGGATGCCATTAAACCGCGCCGATGTCAATCCCAACTCAGCAGATCTGGGCGGCCAAACACCGCTCTTCCGTGCGTTTATAAATGGTCAAGAAGCGGTTGTAAAGATCCTCCTAAGCTGCGCTGATGTCAACCCCAATTTAGCGGATTGGAACGGCCAAACGCCAATCTTCTATGCTTCTGCAGATGGCCACGAAGGTATCGTAAGAGCCCTACTAAGCCGTTCCGATGTCAACCCTAACTCATTAGATGGGTTTGACCGAACACCACTCTTCCATGCTTCTCCGAATGGCCATGAAGGAGTCGTGAGGGCCCGGCTAAGTCACGCCGATGTCAACCCAAACTCGCCAAATTGGGATGACCGGATACCCCTCTCCCAAGCTTCTATGAATGGCCATGAAGAGATTGTAGTAATACTACGATACCGCGCTGATGTTAACCCAAACTTAGCGAATCGATATGGCCAAATACCGCTCCTCCGAGCTTCTACAAACGGCTATGAAGGAGTGGTAAGGACCCTACTAAGCCGTGCCGATGTTAATCCCAACACACCAGATCGTGGTGGCGAAACACCAATCCTCCGAGCTTCTGCAAACAGCCATGGAAGCGTCGTAAGAACACTGTTAAGTCGTGCCGATGTCAACCCCAGCTCAGCCAATTCGTATGGCTGCACACCACTCCATATAGTTATCCCGCATCAACATCATGGAGTCGCAAGTTTGCTACAAGCCCGGTAGTAAATTCCTCACTCAGATTGACGGTCTCGTGCCTGCTTCTCCAGTCCCCACTCTCCACTTGACCGGCACAACCACCACCCTCACCTTCAGAGACTGTGTTGAGCCTTCTCCGCCTCTCCGCCACGCACACCTCCTTTACGATATTCCCTTGCAGTGTTATCGTAGAGATATTACTCTCTCGTTATCTTTTTTCCCCTTTTTCTTTTCTAAAGCCTCCTCTAGCATGTACTCCACATATACCTTAAAGGAGTCCCCAGCAGGGTTATTTCCTTTGTCTTTCTCAACTTTATCCTTTAGGTATTCCAAACACAGATAATTTATTCAATATTTACAGTGCGATACGCTCCCCAGAGCTCCCCAGCTGGAGGGGGGGGCAAGTTCTGGATGCTTTTTCCCAGGGAAGTGCTTCAAACTTCTATTATAGTAACATTGCACACAGATCCACTGTCTTCTCCAAAGAGGCGTATTACGTTATCATGCCCTGTAGTGGAAAGAAATTTCTTTCTTTTACCCCCCTTCATACCCCCAGAGAGGTGCCAAGCACGTCCTCTGATCCTGCACGCTAGTGCTATAGAAGAGGTTTTGCCAACAAACACGGGGGACGTAAATCCAGTATAATATAAAATCTATGCCCGAAATCACCAGATTGACATATTATAGGGCCGGCCGGCTGCTCGCTATCGTTCCCGTTATTGGCAGCTAATCCAATCCACCCAGTGCAGTATCCGATTGAGTAGTACATCTACAAGGGTGGCACTCTGAACATGAACTCCTGAAGAAAAAGGGGAAAACAAGAAAAAAAACAGGAACGTGGCTACATAATACAGAAAAGAACATGATACCCGACTCGAATTACATGGGCTTCACCCGGCACGATTTATCCATTAGGATCCTGATCTCGACGGTCCTCATGCATTCTCACTCGCTCACTTCTTCCCCACTGGAAACCTGTTGGATTGACATTAAGCTCACTGATATAATACATTCCCGCGCGTCCCCACAAATTAATATCAAGCAGCAGCACGAGCGAAGGAGTGACAGGTCGTGAATGATGTGTGGTTACTTTCACCCCTGTTTTAACATCCTAATTCCTCTTTAACTAGCTTGGCACCGCTTCTAGAAAGTTGCCTAGCGCCTGGTAAGAACACCCATCTCCAGCTAGCCTAGACACATTACCAGAATCGGAATCCAACTTTTTGTACTTTCTAGCCAAGTCTGAGATATTTGTGACTACCTACCTCTCTCTCTCTCACATTCGCTTTCTCCTTTCTTTTCATCCTTCTTCTACTCATTCCGCATGGTATCGCCTGGTACACCCCGCTATTATCTGGCAGGATCTTATCGATGGAGTGGAAGGAATGAATGAAAGAAAGAAAATCAGTGCAAGAGGTCCAATTCAATCCAGACAGCTACATTTATCTTTTCACGTATATTAAGAACTACAATACCTCTACGGGACTCCCATAATCATTCCAACATTACTAGCCCGAATCCAACCCCACAACCAGCCATAACCAAAGTTAGTAGACATCCCAAGGCTCACAACATACACACACAAACTTGCCAGGCTACCCAGGGAGGCACCACCCAAGAGGAAAACGTGCAACATCTCTCCCTCCACACCCAACATCCCTACCCTACCCGCCGTGCCCTCTAGGGCCATGTGCCCGGGCTCAGGTAGGTAGGAATCGCAGGGCTCTATACATCTCTTATCCCTCGCTATGAGACAAGCCAAGAAAATACATATATCCAGAAACCGCACAACGTGCAAACAAGCATGATACCCTCCCTTCCCATCCACCCACCCACAAGGGACCGCTATCCATAGCCACCTCTATCTAGACCACCATCACCCTCCCTTCAAAGCGAGCACCTCAGCAAAGGCGGACAGTTAGACACAATAGAAGAAAAAAGGAAAGAAGGAAGGAAAAAAAATCACAATACAAGCCCTTCACGTCCTTTAGTGATGGTCTATGAAGACTATCTATATGGCAACCAACCCAGTAAGAAAATTCCATGATAGCATAGCATCGCATCGCAGCAGCAGCAGCAGCAGCGAAGGAGTGGGGTGCACGATCTTCTACAAGTAGAGTAACATCACCACACACCCTTTGACAATGTCAGTCGGGTAAGGACTCAGAGGCTCTACGGGGATTGCCAGAGCCTTGGCAGGGAGAGTCCGGATAGTGGGCTGCAAGGGGGGAGGGGGTGCGAGTGGGCGGAGTGGGAGGATAGCGGTTTCACTGCTTGCTTGTTTGTTTTTTTCGTTCTTATTTCCAGTAGTCTTTGTACAGTACAGCATCCGGTGTTTACCCTACTACCATGGAGCGGAATACTGCTCAAGAACCTGCGGACTAGGCTGGCTGACCACACTGCCTAATACCACTTTGCTTCATACATGACATATTGTGTTGCTACCAGAGTTCATAGGGTGTCACTCTGTGGTAGTGTCACGTGATAGATGTGTTCATCCAGACGCTCGCGACCTTGGATCACACTTGCTAGTAATTACAAGGTAGACTAAGGAACCGGGCCACAGGGACATAAGAGTAGGGAATTAAATTGATCAATCGATGCGTGAACGCAAGCAGCCAGGATAGCCACAGCACCTCGCCACCACACCCAACCACCCTCCCAAAATATGTACAGCGTGCCTCCTGCCATTCATCCATCCATTGACGCTTTTTGAAGAAAAAAATAATGTATATATATATATACATATGTTACCACCTAGAACAAGTAAAATCAAAATTCCCCCGGCTCCCCCCTCACTCCAAACAACCCCAACCCCAAAACCCCAACCCTCGCCCAAACGCTCATTCTCCAGCCACGATACAGCCCCTCCACACCATACCTCCCACTACCCTCTTCTCCCGCAACGGACCACATTGTTCCAAACACACCCGTGTATCTTCCCACAGGAACGACCGTCTTCTTGGGCTTTGTAACGGCGGCTTGGCCACGCCGGAGGGCGGTTTCAAGCGGTAGCCGGACGATAAGCTCCGCTGTAGAGGATAGGAAGGTCACTAAACTGAAGATTGTCGGATTCCCGACTGGGTCTATGCCGAAGCGGCTTCGGAGGAAGTGCGGGGTTCCTAGAAAGATGAAGGAGGGGAGCGCAGCGTGGAGGGCAGTAGGGAGGAGCAGGCTGGGCGGACAGGTATAAGAGGGGAGCAAGTGGACATTTGGGAGGAGATTCCGGGGCGGCTCGGTTGAAGGGGTTATAACTAGTCTTGTTTCAGGTCAATATATGTATACGGTAGAGGAAAGGATGTGAGTGGGAGAAGGGATCACCTTGTCCGGACTATATCTATTGGTGCCAGAATTAGCGCTGTGATAGTGGATGCTGCAACAGCTACACCCAGTGACGCTAGCGGATCAGCCGAATCCGCAATCTCTCCCATTCCCGGATCCGGAAGTGATAGCACCGCGGATAAAAATGATCCAGTCCAACTCTCTAACGTCCGCATAAGAATGTTATACACAAAGGTTGCGTTCTGACCTATCCATTCTCTCAGCCCAACACTTATCCCACTCACCCCCTATTCCACAGAAACAACGTACCTTTCCAAACCCCTGCATAACCTTCTTTATTCCATAAGGCTCTTAGCATCTCCCCCACAGTGTTCACCCGTCCCGGTACAGTCTCGAGCATCCACTGTTCCCGCACTTCCCTGCCTACCTGATCCCCGCCGGTAACGTACCCAGCCCTAGGAGTCTTCTGTGTTCCCCGCATCCGCGGGACTCCACCGCCGTCCAGCTCTTCCTCGGCGTTTTCCGAAAAGTAGGGCGGGTCTGAATCATCACTTGCAGACTATCCACATGGCCAATCAGTAATGCTTGGCAGAACGGGTGACGGGGTATACATCATCGACATCCTCCTCATCCTCATCCACAATCCTCTTCCCAGCCCCCTTAGACACAGCCTCGCATTGTAGCAATGTCCGGGAATTCTCAAACGGTTGGCCAATCAATCGCAGAGAGTATTGTACCGCAGCCTGTTGGAGCCACCCTTTGATAACTTCATCCGGGGATTGATCCTCGAGGTATTCCGAATAATCCGCTAGTATACCACCGCCGCTTCTCGTATCTGTCAGTGCGGGCGGATACGAGTATGAGGCCACGGGGAGAGGTGCCGGCGTTGGTGCCGAAGAGTTGAGTGGAGGTATCGATGGTGTGGGAATGTAATATGGTCGCAGCGGGTTTGGGCCTTGGTGTGTCGACATGATACCTGTGGTGATTTTCTGTTTTGTTTTGTTTTGTTTTGTCTTGTGTTGTGTTGTTTTTTTCTGCCCGTCTAACCCAATTTATGCTTCGTTTGATGCCGAGGGGGGAGATTGACGAGACAGGAGAAGGACCGGTGGAGGGGAGGAGGCAGCGGAGAGGAGGGAAGGGAAGAGAAGGCGGGGGATAGAATTTTTTTTTCTCTTCCTACCCCCTTTTTCTAGAAGTTGGCTAGTCCAAAGGGCCTATGATCGGTGATGGTGTGGACTGCGATAGCGGTGGTGGGGTTGTGGTGGTAGTGGTGATGTGTGCTGTTCGACTCGCTGCCCCTCCATCCGAGACCTCAAGTGAGGTGTTGCTGTGTGGCCAAAGATATGATAAGATTAAGATCGACCCTTTTTTTTTACTTTTTATCCGAAATTTTCTCTTTCCGCATAAGGCCACTCATGGTACGGTAATTAGCTGTGTCACGTGTTGCACAACCGAGCTTAACTTCAACCTCCAGACCTCGATGCTGGAACAGGACGCAGACCAAGATTGACCGATCGATAAGCTATTGCACTATCGGTAGCTTACCACAAACCGGCAACAGCAGGACCTCATTGACAGTACTGTACTGTACAGTGCATATAAGGTTATCAAAGAGCCACAATTTCTCGGTGCAAAGATACTGTATTTATCCTTCCTAAAAGCCCCTTCAACGATAACGGAGCCCCCAGAATCTATCCCAAGACAGTACCTCCACCGGTGTTTAGGTCTTTCGCCAGTCCATACGATAGTGGAACTGCGCGATAACACAGCATCGCTATGATATAGCAATTCTCTTCTTCCTCTTCTCCTTCTCTAGAGCGAAACGTTTATCGCATCGCTCGCTTCCTTTCTTCTTTCCTCTTGCCCTCTCCCTTCCCGTCCCCCCCTCTCACAATTCCGGTCTACCCCAGACCCGTGCTCCTCTCCCACTCTCCTACTCCCCTTTCCCACTCTCCTACTCTCCTTTCCCGCTCTCTTAGTCCGAGTTAAAATCACCCGGAATAAAGGGAAAAAAGAGAAAAGAAAAAGAAAGAAAAAAACAGCACCCACCAAAGAGAACGGTGAGCCCCCCATCCACCAGCTTAAGCCATTGTGACAAAGGAAACGAGTAAACCACACAAGACGAAAAAGAAAAAAAAAGAGAAAACAAATGCAACCCCCAATCCACCCCAATTCATACAGAAAACAAAGCAGAAAAGACAGATCAAACAAGTTTGTTCCTTTTAGTGAGCAATACCGAAAACCCTGGAGGCGCTTGTTACCGAGGAAAACGAAAACAATTTGCCCACTACATATCCCACTTGGCAGACATAAAAAGAGAAGAAAAAATGAAAAAGAAAACAGGCTCGCACAAACATAGACCCGAAAAACATCAAAACTACTTTACAGAAGAGGAAATAACGGCGCCCAGACTGCCCCCGTACCCACCCGACGCAACTCGACCCAGGCAAGGAATAAAAATAGAAGAGGTGAAAGTATAAAAAATATCACCCTGCCATATAATAGCGTGAAAATGCACTAGCTAATCCATAGTAGTGATGTTGTTGGAATGATAATAATAGTACGGCACCAGTAGCAATTAACCAGACACAATTCCCGAACCCCTCCCGCACGCATAGAAAACGCAAATGTGAAGAAAAGCAGAAAACTGAATTATTTGGAGAATTACTACTGGAGTTGAGCCTGGCCCTGATTTTGATTCTGGCCCTGCGACTTCTGGTTGACTGCTTCGAGGGAGGATGCATGGGATTTCCACTCGATCCTAGTTCCCTGCGGAAGATTGAGCTTGCGCTTGACGGTCTCCCTGCCCACCAATCGTTAGCGCCCGGTCCCAGGAACCCCCGAGAAAATGGAAGATACGAACTTGATTTTCAAGCAACTCGACCCGTCCACCCTGGTCCAAACACTGAGAACATCCTCATTTCCTCTGATGCTCAAAACAGCCCCACAAAGATCCTCACCAGCATCACCAAATTGGTCGCCGACAATGGCCAGGAGAAGCTCCTCCCAGTATCTAGTACTAACACCCTTCTTCAGACGGATATTCCACTTTCCGCCCCTCCTATTCTCCTTATCCTCCCAAACTGGCCTAATTCCTTTCTTAAAGAGATGATAGTCGCTCACGTGCGGCAAGACATTCGGCCTGCGCAAGTGGCAGTAGACACACCAGAACTCCTCAACTGTTCCAAAATACGCAATCTTCTGCGTGGACTTTTCATAGTCCTGAAACTTGTTTCCCGGAGAGCGGTACCAAACAACCCAAACATTCTTCAATGGATGGGAATCCTGTTGGTTAGCAGCAGCAAGATTACCGCTGGACTTTTTGGTTCCGGCAACAACCTCCGAGGCGGTCAACCCCTTCGGCAGCGAAGGGGTAGCAATTGTGCCAGTACTGATACTACCAGCAGCATTGAGACCGTCTCCACCCGGAGTCTTCGGAGTCTTGAGCCCAAAAGAACCAAAGGCACCTCCGATACCGAGATTGAAGGCAGCAGACGCAGATTTGGTTGCATTTGCCGTTGGAGACGGAAGTGCCGGATTGCCAGTATTGATATTATGTAGCTTAGCGAAGGGATTTTCATACGACGGTTTGTGAGAGGAAGTGAGTTTGGCAGAGGGAGGCCCGAAAATTTTGGAGGAGGGAGCATCGCCGGTTGTATTATTGTTACTGTTACTGTGTGCAGACGAGGACATTGAAAGAGAAAGTTTACCGGAGCTAAATTATTGTCAGCCAAAATAAGAGCGAGCGGAGTAGCGGGCCAAGGGACAAACTTGGATCGTCGGTTCCATAGTGAATTAGACTCCATCTGACGACAAATAGGCAAACTATGGGAAAGATGCGGAAGAGTAGGAGAAACCTGAGCGGATGCGTAAGGAGAAACGAGCGGCAAGCAACTTTTGAGTGCTTGGAAGAGGGGGCGGGGTCAATGTCACTGTACAGTAAAGGGCAAAATAAAAATAATAAAATAAAAATAGGAAAAGAGCAAGGAAATGAGAACGAAGGGCGTATTTGTCGGCAAACGGCAAACAGGGTATCAGAACAGAACTGTTGTGCCGTGACCTTTGTCAGTGGCCGCAGGTAAGAAAGTAGACCTCGGAAGCGTCCAATAGCAGACGGATGTCAAGGACGCCAGTGTGTTTTAGTGGCCGGGGTATGGGAACAGTTCGAGGAGAAGAAACAGAATTGTAAGTGTATCACCGAGGAAAACTGAGGGGCCGGAGTAGTTGAATTAGTTGAGCGGTATTGATGAAAGTTGCGGTGGTTGCGATAGAAGCGAAACGGAAGGGTGTGGATCGCGGAAATGGAGAAGTGAAGAGAAGGAATACCGTGGGTCAACGTCAAAGGAAAAAAAAAAAAAAAAAAAAGGTGGAGAGTCAAAGGAACAGAGAGGAAGAGGGAGAGCGTGGGTGGGTGGGACAAGAAACGTAGCGATCAATCAGATCGGATCGTATCACGACTCCAACCAGGACAAGAAAGATGACCAGGGTGAGTAGAGAAGGGGGAAAATATGAACAAAGACAGGTAAATGGACGCAGGAAGAAGGTATGTACTCTCTGACCACAACCACCAAGTGAGATGAGAAAGAACACGGGGTCAAAGTTACAGTATCTGGCCTATGCTGTGTATAAAAAATGAGATTGGGCACGGGGGTGCGAGAAGTGGAATGGAGTGGTTAGAAGTGAAAGAGAAGAGGAAGGGAGAGAGGCAGTACTCGAGTATGAAAAATGTGGAGGAGCAGTGGTTGTTGCGAGAAACACCAGACACAAATAAGGATGGGGTGCGGCTTTGTTAGCTCTGGTCTTTCTGCCTTGGTCTTGAAAAGGGTTGAGGAGGGGTCTCATCTTCTCTTCTCTCCTCTCTCCGCTGCTTTCTACCATCTTTTCCCCTTGACTTCTACCCGTACTTGACCAATTGTCAATGTTAATAGAAATACCATACAGGGACCATGGTTCCCTACTTTCACGGTGATAAGTCATCAACAACCCTTCCACCTGCCAAGGAACCATCCGCCGCCCTACTGTGGCGAAGATCAGATATGCCAAGACAACGGTCAAACACATATAAATTGGCAGGCCCATCACCGCCTTTCCCCCTTTCCCCTCAACAAACCGAGACCACCAACTCAAATCATCGTCAGCTAGTATTTTGCCCCACTCAGCTGGCGACTCCGATGCGTGTGTCGAGACCAAAACAGGTTTCTGAAACCCTCCTCTAAAACCGTTGCTACGAGGAGTTCGTCCTTTTGGACTGATGCTCTCATGAAATGGGGACGACCTGAAGAGAGGGACATTCTCGCCTGTGGCGATAATGATGTTGACGATGAGCTCACTTACAAGATGGATGAGAATTGGGGTGTCCGAATCCGGCGCGTCCCAATTCCTGGTAATGACACGTACTATCAAATCTGCTGTTTCAGTAAGTCCATCCAACCCCGCCATCCATACCTTCCCACGAGACAGCGTTCCCGAGATGATGATACGTACGAGCTCTGGTAACCCGAGTCAACCGCTCCTGGCTTTTATGGCCTCTACACACGAGCCGGATGGAAATGACGCTTGAAAGGCACAGACTGATCCGAGAACTGCCGTCTTTCTATTCATCCCAATCCCTTCATCGTCCAGTACTGTTACTTTTCCCCTCGCTAATAAGATAGGCAAGAAATTTCTAGTGGTCACACAACATCGAACAGGATACACGCATGGGGAAGTTAAGGGGAAACGTTTTGTGCTCCTGCTGGCTGAACTGATTCGTCATCTGAAGAAGGTTCAATCAATACATGCATTCCGTCGGTTGCTTGTCCCAGCTGTGGTTTCCCCGTCGGGGCTGGTTTGTCGGATGCCTGCCTTAGCGTTTGAATCTGATCCCGCGACGAGGGGACTTGCGTGAAAGCTTTCTACTCGGGCGCTTTACGGGGACCATTTTGACTCCGGTTCCTTATATACCACATCGCCCTGACCAGAGTTACAATCCGTTGCTACACCCAAATAGTTGTCATGATGGAGGGGTTTACCAGTTTTTGCCGGTATTCGGTACGGGGGTCCCAGGCCCATTGGGGCATTCGGGACTTGCCATTCTGCGGTATTCTAGCTAGCTAGGCAGCATAGTTACATATTAAAAGGTTCAATATACTTTCATCTCCCCCAGTTATGGGTCGAGCGGTCGCAAACCTCTTATACACCAGTACCCATCATACCAATATCATATACATAACATCGGTGATCCCCACCAAGAACCCTCCCGACCGGGTAACCCCCCCTCCCCCCCATGCCAACTCTACCCCTCCACTAGAAACGCTCGAGGGGAAAAAAATAATTAAAATTTATGCGGCTCATCCCATCTCATCCATCCATTCAGTGACTTCATATACCGCACCTGTGCATCCCAATACCAATTACACAACGATACCCCCTTCACCACCCAGACGATGTTCTCCAGAGCAATAATAACCCCCATAGCCCATCTTCTCCGACGGCCCCATTCATGTCTGCTCCCATGGCAAACCTCGTCCTCCCCTTTCCCAATTCTTCCATCCACCCTCACCCAACCATTCTCCACAACCCTCCTACGAAAACACGGCCACACCACTCCACCAAAGCCCGGCGAAGAGTCCCTCCCCCCTCCCGCCATCGCCTACCCCGAACAATCTGCTGATTATGAGCAAAAAAAAAAAAAACAGACTCTACGTAACATTCATCGACAAATCCTCCAACCCCCACAAATTTGCAGTCTCCGCCGGCGATAACCTATTGGACATCGCGCAGGAGCACGACCTAGACATGGAAGGCGCCTGTGGCGGATCCGCCGCATGCTCGACTTGTCATGTCATCGTTGTTGACGACGCCATGTACGAGCGCATACCCGAAGCCGAGGATGACGAGAATGATATGCTGGATTTGGCGTTCGGACTCACGGAGACGTTTGTTCCTCCCCCAAGAAGAATTCTAAGTGGGAGTGCGGCTGATAAGGTGTGTGTGCGCGTGTAACAGGTCACGGCTGGGGTGCCAGGTTAAGATGAGCAAGGAGATCGATGGGTTGGTGGTGAAGTTACCGTCTATGACAAGGAATTTGCAATCGAGTGACTTTTCAAAGAAGGCGTAGTTTCCGAGGGCCCTCGCTAGCATTGTAAGGTTACGGGGTGAGCGGATGGATTGATAGACGGCAGGTTGTTTAATTAAAGCAGAAACATCCGGACTCTGGTCTTTTTTGTTGGCCCCCTTTCTTTTTTTCTTAAAAAAAAAAAAAGATAGAATTTTTTAATATAACTACAGGTTTGTATAAAAGTAATGCATCGCTTGTTTGAATGGAGTTGGGGGTGAACCCTCGGAAGTGATCATTTCCCGCCAGACTGGATGAGGCTCAGGAAGCCCTGCTTCGACATTTCGGTCACTATGATATTCCATTAGCCATTGATCCCGGTCCGAAAGCCCGTATATGGGGAGATATCATATCATACCTTTCTCCTCCCTCTTCACAATGCCCACAACCCCCTCCCTCTTCACAGCCCTACTCCCCTCCTCGCCCTTAACCTGCGCAGCCCTGACCGCATTAAACAACTTGATCACCCCCCTCTGTGCCGTCTTCCTAAGCCGCTTCTCAAGCTCCAACGCCTTCCTCGCCGCCTCGTCATCGTCCTTTGGTATGACCTCCCTCACCCGCCCCTTCTCCAACTCCTTCCTCCTCTCCTCGCGCAGCACTCTACGAGCCTTCGCTTCGATCCTGCTCTCGTCAACCTCCGCTGCGGAGTGCCTCGCGCGGACGAGCACGGGGTCCTTGCGCGCCGTCGTGGTCAAGTGCGAGGAGAGGATCTTCGACATCGTCGTGGAGAAGACTTCGGGGTCGTTGCGCTTGCGCTTTTTGGCAGGACGCTGGGTGGAGGTGAGGAGGTCAGAGAGGTTGTCGTCGGAGTCGGAGTCATCTTCGGTATTTGTAGCGCTGGCAGAGGAAGGTAGGGGGTATCCATCGGCTTCTGAGCCTGAGTCCTCTGAGGCATTGTTTAGGTCCACGCTGCCAGTACCGGCGGAGGATTCGCTGTCAGATGGTGATGATGCACTGGGACTCGCGGGCTTGTTCATCTTCTCGGCGGGGATGCTCTTCTTCTTGGCATCCGCGGTGGCGCTGGTTTTGCTCTTTTTAGTGACATGCGATGGCATGGTGTTTTTGTTGGTTGGTCAGCTGGCTTATTCTGTTCGCTCGCTCGTCCCGAATTAATATTGCGCAGTGGTATGATATGATATGAAAAATCCGGGAGACAAGTTGTGGGAAAATTTAATCTCAAGTTACCCTCTCTCGGCCCCATCCCTCATTAAACTGCTAGGCAGTGGGGTCGCAGAGCCTCATATTGGCGGCTACCGTACTGTCATATCATACTAAATAAACAAACTACTCTGATCTCGCAGGACAATCTCGACCCCCCCCCCACTTCCCCCCACTAATCGCCCCATCATGAAGACCTCGTTATGGCAATTCGCCCAGAGACGAGCAGTGCCAGGGGGCTGGACCTGCCAGCGCTGCTTAACCATCCCGCGAAAATTAACCTTCAATGCCACCACCGCCGGCAGTCGTGGGAAGAGAGGGAGGAGGGACTACTCGTCTGGTGCAAAGGAAAAGTCGGAGAAGCCGTATTATGTGACTACACCTATATTTTACGTTAATGCCGGTACACATTCCCCCCTCATTTTGTGATTTTTCAAAGTCTGCTGGCTGAGGCAATGCGTCAGATCCACATATCGGGCATCTATATACCATGGTCTTAGCCGACGTCTTGAAACGCTGGCAACTTCTCCTCGGCCGGGAAGCACTGTTGAGTACGGGTACAGACGAGCACGGAATGAAAATCCAGCAAGCGGCTGCAATGGCCAATACCCCGCCCAGGGAATTCTGTGACATGATTGCTGGTACATTCAAGGTCCCCGTCCTCCCCTTCCCCATCACAACCCATCACTCACCCTTAATAGAACCTAGCAATAGAGGCCAACGTCTCCTATGACTTCTTCATCCGCACCTCCTCCCCTGTTCATGCCGAGGCGGTAGAGCACATTTGGCATAGGCTGCAAGACAGCGGTTACATCTACGCCAGTAAACATAGTGGTTGGTACTCCGTCTCGGATGAGACTTTCTACCCATCGAGCGGTGTAACCTCGGTAGTGGATGCAAGATCGGGCAGAAAACAGAAGGTCTCCATTGAGACACAGAAAGTCGTGGAATGGACGGAGGAGATAAACTACCACTTTCGCCTCTCATCCCTTGCCCCACAACTCCTTGAATTCTACCGGGCGAATCCGGACTGGATCGTGCCCCACGCACGCTACAAAGAAGTCATCGCGGCGGTGGAGAGCGGCCTTGAAGACCTCTCCATCTCGCGCCCGCGCCACCGCCTCCACTGGGGCATCCCAGTGCCCACAGACTCCACACAGACAATCTACGTCTGGCTTGACGCACTGACAAACTACCTCACAAACACCGCATACCCGACCTGGCCGCCCCCCTCAACCTCCTTCTGGCCAGCAGACACACACGTGATAGGCAAGGACATTCTCCGCTTCCACGCAATCTACTGGCCCGCCTTCCTCCTCGCCCTCAACCTCCCCCTGCCGCACCGCATCCTAACACATGCGCACTGGACCATGAACCACCGCAAAATGAGCAAGAGCACCGGCAACGCCGTCAATCCCTTCTTCGCGCTGAATAGATTCGGCGTCGACGCCATGCGCTTCTACCTCCTCCACGAAGGGGGCATCGCCGATGACGGCGACTACGATGTGCGCTCCGTGGTGGAGCGCTACAAGAAGGGCTGTGCGGACGGCCTGGGAAACCTGGCTGGTCGTATACGTGGGCGCCGGCTCGATCTAGAAAGAGCCGTTAAGCGCAGCTCTGGGCTCAACATGTCAGAACTCCCGCCCGCAGACCAAGCGCACTACAACCTCCTACGCGAAACTCCACTCTTAGCAGCGGGCAAAATGAAAGACTTACATCCAAATCTGGCATTAAAGGATATCATGAACGCGGTCTACGAAGTCTTTCCCCTTCCCCTCCCCCCTTTCAAATTCTTTCCCCCCAATAGTAGCTGACCCATCCCAGACAAATAAATACCTCCAGCACGCCGCACCCTGGAGTATCTCCCATCCTGCACAGCAGGACTTACCAGTCTACCTATCCGCTGAAGCCGTACGCATAGCGGGGATCCTGCTGCAGCCGTTCATGCCCGGTAAGATGAAGGAGTTACTAGATGGGCTGGGCGTGCGAACGGATAGACGCGGGTTCGGCCACGCGGCTGTGGGCGGGGATAGGGAGTATGGGGCTGCGGTTGTAGGGCGGGAAGAGCATGCGGCGGAAGGGGGGAAGAGGAGGAGGAGGGGGGTCTTATTTCCGCCGCTTGATGAGGGGTTTGATGAGTAGATTGTTGGGTTGTGAGTTTGATTGAGTGCGTGGGTGTGGGCAAGTAATCTATTGTGACGGAGGGCGGGTTGGTTGGCTTGTGATCTACCCAGACTGAGCGGTCTGAATTAGACGTATGCACAAAAGGATATATAAGACGGTGGATACCAATTTTGCATCACCACAGTTGCAGCAGCCATCACTTCATCACCGCTTCTCACTCACAAACGCAACCTCCCCACAGAGAGGAAAGAGAAAGAGAAAGAAAAAAAACTTTATTACCAACCACCCACCCACCCACAAAACTCCTCCCTTTATCCAAAAATCCACTCAACCCAAAATACAGACAAGGTACCAACGCCACCAGATAACCCCACCGGTATCCAAACACAAATCAAGTGAATAATCAGATAAAAACACCCAACCGCCCAACTAACAGATAACTCTCCTAATCCTGCGCATTATGGGTGCCTCCTCTCCCACGCCTCGCCCCATTTCCGTTCCCACCACCACCACGGCGCCCTCTTCCACCACCTCTTCCATGCCTTAGATTAGGCGGCGGGGGAACAGTTCTGTAGCCATCACTGGAAGCCTGAGGCCTCTGCAAGATCACCGGCGGGCCACCGCGCACTGGAGGATTTTCTACTCCGCCACGGACGCCACCGCCGCGGGCTCGAGGGGATGGGTATCCATTGGGATGACTGCTATTGCGAGGTCCCGGTGGGGGGCTGCGACTGTGGCCGTTCGGTCCAATCCCCCTACGACCGCGTCCTCTCCCTCCGCCAGATGGGGAGTGTGCGCCGTCACGGCCACCGCGGCCACCGCGGCCGTTTCTGGCGGCAGCTGAGCTATAGCTTCCCACGAGCTCAGGCGGCGTGGGAGCGGGCGCGTACCCATCAGGAGCAATGACGGTAGAAAGGGGCTTGGCCAGTCCACTGGCTTTAGATTCCACAATCAATTGGCGATTGGTAAGATTTAGTACGCTCGACACCGGAACCGTCATTCCTCGGAATGGGGAACACCTGTCACTGAGCGTTGTACCGCTCATAAAGGCGAGATCGAAAACTACGTCCAATAGGGTCTGTCTTGTGGTCCTAGTCAGGCCGATCACCGTCCCTCTGGTCGCAATCGGAACTTTGCCGGAATCCTGAACGTAAATGACTCTGTCACCCAAACTGAACCACTGGTTATGCAGTCTGTGCTCCGCATCGCTAGGTTTTAACAATGCCTTGCGGGGCACGCCCTTTATACGCATGGGCTTCGGACCTTCCAACTCTTGCATATATTGATCGGCCGCCGCCTCAATCTCTCTGGTAGGGTCTCCGTCAAGTTGCTGAGCTTCCAATGGCACCTTCTCGAAGCTTCTGCTCTGAACACTCTTTAGCCAATCTTGGATTTCCTTGATTTTGGCTTTGCTCTCCGATGGGTCGAAAAAGTCCGTGTCGGAATAAAGGTCTCCTTGTGGGTTTCTTTGGATACCCTCGAAGAACTGAGGGAATTTGGTGATATACTCTCTGACGAGGTCAACCGCCTTTTGCGAGAACTCCCATCCGTTGTCTCCGCGGCGAGAGTACCCCAACACTTTGAGTTTCTTAGCCTCGAACTTCAAGTTTAGCCCCAGGTTAAGACGGTTATCGTCCACCACCACCGTAAAGCTCGATGTAATCCTGCTAAGAACAAGTGAGTTAAGTCTAAGATTGCGAGCAACGGCATATGACGGTGTGTAGCGAGTGGAACGCTCGGCTCTTAGGACAATATCACTGCCAAAATCCGGTTCTTTCGCTTTCTGCGCATCGTTAGAACCCAGCTCAAGTACCCAGCTAAAGCGTAACTACTCACCATAGTAGCAATCCAGATATCCGCCCTATCGCCGTTGTGCTTAACAACTTCCAAAGGCCTGCCATAGTTGAATTCCCCCAGGAAAAAGGCGCGAGAACCCTCGGGAAACTCTTCTGCGATAGGAATAGCAGATTTCTCCAAAAATCTTTGATCCTCACTCACAACCTCCTCTACAACGGTTTGGGCTGCATAGTCTGTTTCAATGCCCGGAGCCTGGGCGTATTCCTTGACCATAGCCCCTTCATCCGTCCGCTTCAATCCCTTCAAGATTTCGACGTGTAGAACAACCTCAACAGTGCCAATAACGATACCCATCCTTCCGCTGTAGGTATTCTCCATTCTCTCGGCCTTTCGTCTCCATTGATCCACCTCATTTGGGCTATGGGGGACGGGGATTACCTGACCGCTTTCGATCCTATGGTATCGGAACAGCTCATCCGATACCGCGTTAACCCGCCCTTCTTGTAAGAACGGGTACCCTAATACTCGTCTTAGTAATAGGATAAAATCGCCCATGGGGTAGTCTCGATTGCACTCACCAACGAAAACCCTCTGTCCGATCTTGTTCTTTGCTTCCTCGACCCCCCCTCCCTGATAGGCGTTCTCCAACCTAAGTACCATACTCTCGTTTCTGCTCTCCCGCTGGAAAACATTAACCCCCTGGTATCCCAACTCCGCAGTGTGAGGAAGAGTCTTAAGGCTGGGAAATCCAGCTAATGCATGAATCCCAACTCTTGCCCCTTCACAGAGCCCAACGATAATCTCCAATCCTTCAAGAGTTGGTAACTCAAAGACATTAACCACACAACGGCAACGGGCCACGTCCGGAAATACCCCGGGCATGCTGGAAAGGTATACCTCATCGACGTTCGGATTGAAAGAAAACTTTAGAGTGACACCGAAATCGTTCCGAGAACGTTCCTCCGGGCTTAAGAGATGCTCTCTGGTCCGCATAGCTGCGAGAAGCCTGTCCTCTCCAATGAACGGGATCTTAACAACAGCTTCCCACTCCATCTTTTTGCCATTCATATCCAGCTCGAAATCACGAGGATAAAAGTCTATGATAGGTGATTCAGGATCTGTCATAAGATACTTCACATAATTAGCCTCGTTACAACCCTTAGCTAGAAGAGTGGCTCACATGATAGGCGCTCGGGACAATTGTTTTACTTCGATCAGGTAAAACACCCATAAGCTGCTCGAAAGGCTTGAAAGGTCTCCCAAGCTTGAAATCCAGATTCGCCTTGAGTCCCTTATGAACATCTATAGCCCATTAGTACCAATTCCATTTAAAACCTCAACATATGCCTACCAGAAATTCTGGGGGAGTAATGATAGCGATAGTACCAAGGCCATGACACTACCCCCCTGTAATAATAATAGAGTACCCACTGCAGACCTTCTACATAGTTCTCCGTCAGATGTCTCATTTCCTCTTCGCTCTCTAGACCAAAACCAAGCTTGTCCTAAAAATATCATGAAATGCTGTCAGCAATCGAGCACCCCGTGTATACCAGAATAAAGAAGCAGACCTTGTAGTATTCGTCCTTCCACTTATAAAATTTTTGCTTGTACTTCTTTTCAAACTCAGCATTCACTTCATCCACCGAAACGTCCACAACCGGTGCCTTGTTATATTGCTTGAGCACCCTCAACACAGCAGCATGGCCTTCCTCATCTTCACTCTCCTCCTCCTCCTCCTCCTCCTCCTCCTCCTTCTCCTCCCCCTCCTCCTTCTCCTCCCCCTCCTCCTCATCGTCACCGCCATTGTTCCCGTAGCGGCTCAGAGCCAAATATAATTCTCCTTGCTCATTCTCTAGCCTCTGGCAATTGAGCCTTAACGACGCTGCAAGCTCCTCCACAAACTTCCTGTCTTTTGCCGGATAATCAGCCGGGACGTTGAACATCTTAGGGCCCTTTCTACACCTTCTATCCTCAAGCCACTTCTGAACCTCCGTAAACATCCGCTTTTGTTCGGTCGTAAGAACTAATCCTCCTTTGTTCTTTGCTTTCTCCAGCGCCTCGAGAGTGCCTCTTTGCTTTCCCTTCAGCCAATTGGCAGCTGAAGACTCGGATTCAAAAAGCTGTTCCTCGAATTCCGACAGTGCTCCCAACAGCAATGACAATCGCTCCAAATTAATGACACCATGTTCGTTGATGTAACCCTTCGCTTCAGGCAGCACTTTCTTATACACCTTGAATTGCAGTGATAGAGCCCCCTCGTTGATGTGTAGGCCAGGTAAATTTGGCAAGAAATCATTACCAACGAAAAACGCCAGGAGAATGAAATCATCGATAATGCGCTCCATGTCGAACGGAAATGACAGCACACCTGGCTGCCTCAGTTCCTGGAATTCATGTTCTAGATACTCGCGCACCACACTCAGATGCATCAAATAGAAATTCTGGTGCTCCAGCTCCTTAGACTTTGCTTTGCTCTGCCGGCCAAATGTCACTTCTTCTCTCAACAGACAGAAGTGAGGGTCATGTGATAGCAGTCCCAACATGATTAGATCGGCATCCAACCCATATAAACAGTGGCGGACATTAGGATCATATGAGGGTTGCGCCTTAGCAAGACGAATGTACTCCATAATCTTGTGTTCTCCCTCTCCGGGGACCTCATGACCCGAGAGCACAACCTCCACACCCTGCCAGTCAACATCTTCCGACACCTTTTTATTGATGAAATACTTTAGGTGCGCAGTCAGCTTTGCCATAAACTCCGTTCCTGGATACAGCTACCAGTTAGTCACCCACTCCTCGGCAAAAAAAAAGAAAGAAAGAAAGAAATAGGACTTAAGGCTCGTACCAGGTGTAATGCAGTTACTGTCGAAAGCCGCCTCTTTGGGCATCTCTACCCCTTCGCGGATAGCCTTCTGCTTTGCATTATCAGCGTCCAGAGCAGTCCTATATTGTGCCCTCGTCAATTTCAAATACCAACCACCCAGAACCTTCAAGACCACGCACCTAAATCGTCTAGCACGCTGCTGGTTCATCTTAGCACGAGGCGCCACCCCATCTATGGCCATGAAAAAAAGCTTTCTAGGCTTTATCTTCCCAAACAAGTGCTCGATGTAGTTGAAAATGGCAATAAACATGACATCTTCGGTCATGCGAAATGTAGGACTATCGCTATCCCCGTGGGTACAGTTGTGGATAATACCGTTCATATCCAACTATCGGTAAAAAAGTTAGCAGCTCAACCACAGTTTACCGGCACGGTAGGGTGCACGCGATCGCTCGGAAGAATGGGTGGAAGTAAAATGGGGACGGGGGCGATTCAAGCTTACGTAGAGGCAATCGAACTCAGGAATACGATTCTCGGCGATCAACTGCGAAATGGTAGGATAGCGCTCCGATAGCCATCGGAAGAACTTTGGAACGCCCATGATTTGGTTGCCGCGATAGAGTTGTTGGGTACAGTAAGCTTCTCCGAGCTCTGATTTTAGCGGTCAAGGGAAGTGGTGAGCGTTGCTGCTGTTCCGTCGATGACAGGGAATGGGCGGGCGGCGAATCTACGAGTACCGTGGCACAAGGGTCTTTTGCGGTAACCCAAAACCCAAGACGAGGGGGGAAAAAAATGAAAGAACGAACAGCGATCAAAGAAACAGAGAAGCCGGTCTCAGGAACGATTCCCCGGACAGATTTTGAAACCAAAAGAAAAAAGAGTTCTATCCGACCGGGAATTGGCAGGGGGTCCTTCGCTCCTAGAATCGTAAGGTTAGGCAGGTACTGTACAACTATGATACCAGCAAAAAAGCGGAACGGAAAAGATTGGAAGAAAAGAAAAGCGAAACGTTCGGTTCGTGACTTTGGATGGCTTTCAAAGAGGGAAAGAGGAGAGAGAGGGAAGGAAATTCAAGCGGAAGAGAAGACTGATGAGGGAATATAACCAGAGAGTCTAATGCTAGAAGAGGTCTGTAGTGCTTGCATGAATCGGAGGAGCGGTTAACTTATTGTATGCCTCAGCGCAGAGCGGTAGGGCCTTACCGGGCACTGCCATCGTTCGTGCTGCATCACGCGCCTAATCCCAGAGGAACTGAAACAAGTTCCGGAGCTCATGAGGGTGGACTGAAGCTGGCGGTCGAAGATGCATAAAAAATGTATGGAAAAGCTCGCCTGAAGATTCTACGTGAGGTCTAAGGGATGGGGAAGCGGTACTTGATCTCCTCGCGTGCCCCGATCAATACATCATTAATACGGTGAGCTGCTCGCACGAGTACCGAACTGGTTGTGCGATTTTCCGCATATCACCTGTAAGTTACTTGCACAGTAAGCCTCAGCTCGAGAAACGACGCGACGTGAAGTGATGAACAGTCGCGGCCCCCCGGCTCCCCAAACCCTTTCCCGCCCCGTCAAACCTTTGCAACCCCAAGCCCAACCAACTCCCCCCATCCTCATCAGGACGAAATCGACGAACCTGAACATCATACTCTGATCCACCATACTTAACGGAACCCTTACCAACAGATCACATACACACACCCTTCTACCCACCATGTCTACCAACATGGATGACGATATCGACAGTATGCTCTTCCCCAAACCCACCAATCGATCGAGTTAATGATAGGCGTACAGTGGACCCCAGTCTCCGCGACCATGAGGAGCAGATTGTTGTCGACAAGATCATCAATGAGGGTAATCCAGGCCCCTCCCCATCCCACCCATCACCAGTTGCCGCTTGGTAGGCTATCCAGGACTGTCGAGACTAACGGTTTGGCGGGGCTGGAATCACAGAGTACAAGATCTGGAAGAAGAATGCGCCATTTCTTTACGACCTAATCTTGAGGTACGTTCGCCCGGCCACCCAAAACCGCAAGTCCTCGAGAGATAAACACCTCACTGACACTTCGCCCCCTTTCCAGCTCCGCATTGGAATGGCCGACATTGACCACTCAGTGGTTCCCCGATAAACAAACGTAGGACCCCCTCTGTTTCTCCCGAATCACCTTTACCCATCCATTGCATGCGAACGCTCATTGTGGCCAGACATCCCGGGAAGAACTATTCCACTCATCGCCTGCTCATCGGGACGCACACCAGCGGTAACGACACCAACTATCTCCAAATTGCTGAGGTGCAACTCCCGAATCCAGTCACCGAACAGGATCCGCGTCGATACGACGAGGACAAGGAGGAGATTGGCGGCTACGGGGGCGGGGCAGAATGCCGCCTACACATTCAGCAGAAAATGGTTCACGAAGGGGAGGTCAACAAGGCGCGGTACATGCCGCAGAAGCCCGACCTGATTGCTACGATGTGCGCGGATGGAAACGTGTTGGTGTTTGATAAAACTAAGCATCACTTGATGCCTACCAACACCAAATGCACCCCACAGATGACGTTGGCTGGCCACGGAAAAGAGGGGTGGGAGAAGGCCTTAACAATCCCGGAGGGGAGAATCTACGCTAACCAAGAATCGGCAGATATGGATTGAACTGGAACCCTCACAAAGAAGGCCACTTGATGACAGGATCCGAGGATTCCACCGTTCGGCTTTGGTACAATCTCCCCCATGCTTTCGCACGCCTGGGAGTTCGGGGCTAACCTTTGTCCAGGGACCTCAACTCCTATACCAAGACCAACACAACCCTGCACCCCGTCCATACCTATACCCATCATTCAGCTATCGTCAACGACGTCGCCTATCACCCTTGCCACGATGCGCTTTTCGGTTCCGTATCGGACGACCACACCCTTCAGATCGTGGACACTCGTTCCTCGGATACCACGGCTGCCGCGCACAAAGTTGTAGCCCATGAGGATGCCGTCAATTCGATCGCCTTCAATGCCGCTTCCGACTACGTTGTGGCGACGGCATCCGCGGACAAGACTGTCGCCCTCTGGGATCTGCGCAACCTCAAGCTGAAGCTGCATTCGCTCCAGGGTCACAATGCGGAGGTCAACGGGCTGAGCTGGCACCCACACGAAGAGCCCATCCTCGCCAGTTCGAGTGCTGATAGAAGGATCATCTTCTGGGATCTGGCCAGAATCGGTGAGGAGCAATCCCCGGAGGATGCTGAGGACGGGCCACCTGAACTGTGAGTTTACCAATCATCCCCTCGGACGGTTTGAAGTTCATTTCCGGCTAATCCCACGGGACCAGGCTGTTTATGCACGGCGGACACACCAACCGGGTTTCAGACTTTGCCTGGAATCCGAGCGACCCATGGGTGATGGTGAGTGCTGCCGAGGACAATTTGATTCAGTGCTGGAAAGTTTCTAGTGCCATTGTCGGCAAAGAGATTGATGACGTTCCTACCGGGGAGCTGGAGGCGTAAATTTAATGGGAAAAAGTCTGTCGCTAGTAGCAGCTTGCACGTTTAGTAGTCCTTACCCACCCGTTCGCGGGTTCTCTCTGTGTCGGCCCTGCTTCCTTTTTTTTTTTTCCCTTTTTCCCTCTTCTTTTCCCTTTTTCCTTTTTCTTCCTTGTTTCCTATATTATGTTTCTAGCCTAGTCATGGAGAGTGCAATTGTACAACAGTTTTCCTTCCCCCGAGCACGACGGCTAGGTATCTTCACCCGCAGGCCCCCGGGCCTTCGTGATGGGTTACACGGTACAGTAGGCGATGTGCACGCACAGCCAAGCTCTAAAGAGCGGAGATGACGGCATACCGTACTCCCGTATGATGCCAGTGAATCCCATCCGTATCCCCCAGTGATGGCAGGGTCAGAGGTATGCGGACCCTTTTTCTCCACCCTATAGAAAAGCGAGAGTGGAGGAGAGTGGAGGAGAGCGGGGAGACGAGGATTCAACGGTTCAAGTGATGCGTTCTATCGCACCGGTAATCTATCGCCCCAACCCGTAGTATTATGGCACGGCACACAGTCATTACATAAGCGTACTGTATCACAGGAACCGGCACGAACCGGTAGGGTGCTCACTGCTCATGGTTGGAGCCAAGGCACGAGCACTGTACTAGTAGACTACCGTAAGCTACATGTACCATAGACTATCTTGCCCTCTCCCTCACCACTCCGGTATTCGGCTACTTGTCACCCCATAGCGGTAGGGAGTAGTGCCATCAGACCATACGAGCACCACACTTTCAGCAGGTCAGCGCTGAGAAATAGGGTCGTCGCGGTTGGTTCATGCTGGCGGGGAGCACCGGCAATTCAGCCCGAGTGTTTCGTCCCCTTCCGTAACGCTCTCGTATGATAAGTTAGCCATGATACATGCCGTACACGACACACCGGCAATTCAGAGCCTGTGTGGGTTGTGCCGTATTGTACCCTGCGGCACAAGTACTGTGCATCCCGCTGACCTGTCTTTGTCCCCACTGTGAAATGTTGACGTGAGAAACCCCCTTTCGAGATTGGCCGACTTTATGATAGGCACATTCGTCCTGTCCGCCTTACTCGTCATTCCCTTGTGCGCTGCTTCCCTTCCTCCTCTCCTTCCCTCCCTTCTTCCTTCCTTCCTTCCTTCCTTCCTCTCCTTCCCTCCTCTGCCCACCCGACCTTCCTCCATAGCCCTACTTTCCCGCGCACAACCACCCTTCAACAAACCCCACCCAGCCAAACTACCCAATCCCTCAACCCAATCCGCAAAGAAGCGACAATGTCTCACCCTTTCATCCGCAAGTTCTCGCATCGCGCAAGTGGAATCTACAGATCTCCCCGCACCATTATTATGTACTCCTACCTTGTTGCACGTACTCCCCTCCCCTTCCCCCATATTCCATAACTGACAATCGAATGACAGGCGGGCTTCTCCCTCCCCTTCGCCCTCCCCGCCGCCAAAAGGCTCTCTTCAGAGAACAACAAGTCTGTTTCCCGCAATAGGCCCTCCCCTTCTCTTTTTTTTTTATTTTTCCTACCCCGCGAACCTTCCTTGCTTCACACTCCCCCACAGAACGTAGCTGACTGGCTTCGATGGTCATTGTAGCGGTGGTGGCGGCGATGATATCTCTCTTTACCACTGCTGCCGCTAAGCTTTGGAAATGAACGGGGAATTGGGAGGATATCATCGGACGGAGGCGCAATGCATGCATTTTCCGACGGGGGCGTTTGGGATTTTTTTATCTGCTTTCCTTTCACATGACGTTTCCTTTGCTTTCACCTTTTACATTTCTAAACAATATGGAGGAGGAGGTTTGGTATGATGCTGGTACTGGAGGCACAGACGCACGAACCCTAGACCCGTAGTGGAGATTTTATATATTGGTTGTCTGCCACTCGCTCTATCATGCATCTTGGCATACTTCCCACCACAATCCACCATGAGGTCCATGATACCTTGTTCACCATCCAGCGAAACGTCCCACCCCTACATCCCTATAACAGTGCTACTGTACGAAAGCCGCAGCCTTCCCTCTTCCTACCTTCCTACCCACTAGGCTATCCCATCCAGTAATTTGAGCTCGCCTGCCTCGCCTACAAGTATCATGCTGAACCGCACAGGCTTACCGGTATATACGCCTCCCAACCAATCCTGCCGCGCCCCGGGGCTCAACCGCAACAGCCAATCATTCTGCGAGCACGTGAGCGATTACTAGATGTGTCTTGCCGATATGATTGATTACCGGTAGCTTATTACCTCTACTCGTAGATCGGTAACGCAATCCAGATCATCCGGGGCTCGGAGGGCCCATGGGGAAGGTGTATCCGGTTGGCCCTCGACGAAACGGAAAGCAAAGTTTGAGCGTCGATCGTCCCAACCGTAGACTAAGCCCCCGAGCACAACTAACTCTACAACTTTACCCAAATCCTAGCAGCCGCGCACGACGTCCACCTTATCCCCTCTAAACGGTCCGGACTCGAGCGGCCAAAGTTCCTGCGTAAACGTATTACACCGCAGCGCATAGCAACAGTATGATACCGTACAAGTAGAGTAGAGTACTTGGAATTTATGCGAATTGGCACTTGTATAAAGTGCGCGGAAAGCGTTGCTCCCTCCCCCCCGGCTCATCGCTGGTTACCGCAAAGTTACAAGGGCAGGTATAACAGGTAAGTCATCCCGTCTTCACTTCACCTCGCCTCCTGGATCCTGTCGATCACATATCATGGCAGTACAACAAACGTGAGAGTACAGTACGGTACGAATGGGGTACAGTACGGTACACGTACCGTGAGAAGGGGGAGCTGTTGAACTCCCACTTTATATATTCTTCTGCTTCCTTAAGCTTCCTGTCTGAGCTCTACATCGAGCATGATAGGATAATATCGTTATGGACCGATGCTAGTGGGAAAGTTTTGTTGAGTGTGAATGGAATAGGATGCCTTGGGGGGTATTTCTTCCATTATGCGGGGTATCATCATTGTAACCACTGTAGCGATTAGACTACTCATCCGTCCATCCGTTCATAATAGCTTTTTCGTCTGCTTGTGATGGCACGTTTTGCAGAGTGCTGTACTGTATCGTGGAAAGTACAGCACTTGTAGGAGTTGCGATTAATTCACGCTATTGCACCGCTGAACCGATACGGTGTTCCAACTTCTTTCCAAGTCCTTGGGGATACATACAGCACACATCATAATATCATACCATATCACACCATAAGAACGCCCAACAACCCCATCACTCACTCACTTCCGCCCCTGCACGCACCAATCCATCTCTCGATGATTAATCAATCAATCAACCTACCCACCCCCCCTTCTTTCCTCCCCTTTCCCTTCCCCTCCGACACAAACCCCGTCACAAGGCAGATCACAAAATCACAATAATTAATCCCCCCTAACACCTCCCTTTTTTATTCATTTATTTATTTATTTATCCTTTTCTAATTTACTACCGATAACTTTATGCAGAATGCAAAATGCACGCTCCGGATGTTACCGGTAACCTGTACCCCGTGGAATAACGCTAAACGCTTTTACGAACCCGAAAATTTCTTGTGGGGGTGGGGGGGAGACATAATAAAACCTCCTCCTCCTCCTCCCCATCCCCATCCCAGCTATGACACCACCAATCATGCGAAAGACTATTTTCGAGCTATTAGAGATAAAGTGCAAGGAATGCTTGAAAAAAAAGAGAGACGCGGTCACAAATTATCACTCGAGGAATACATAAGTTCGACTGTTGGAAGATGTGGCTTCTCAGGATCATATTTGTTTGGTATACGGTAGGGATACTGAGCTGGATGGTCTGTGTAGGTCCTGTTGGGAAACTCGCTTGCAGGATATAGGACATGTTGTTCAAAGTGACTGCTAAACTCATGTAGTACATCAGCATACTCCCTTCTCATAGGATAGGAGATGGGATGGCAGATCAATCTCTTCTCTACTCTTGAAACAAAGTGATGTTACAACATCGATCACCCCTTCCCCCAGTTCTGGAATGGGTTTTGTTGGGTTTGTGGTAGGATGAGATTTCCAGCTCAAAGGGAAATCATGGTGGGGGTCTTTCGCATCTGTACGGTGTATAAAATAGCT